AAAACACACAAAACGGACATGTTTCACCAAATGAGATAAAAGGTACCCCTCCCTCTTTAGGTTCTCCTTTCTCAGACTCTGTATTAGTTTTACCAAATGAAGGGATGTGCGAAAACAGATGCCTACAGACTTGTAAGAGTCAAGAGTTAAATATTCAGGAATTTTGCAAGTAGCTGCTTCAAATTGACCATGGTGGGAGCATTTAAACCATAGAAACTGGCAAACTCTACAAATTAGGGTGTTTTTTTTTTTTCCTACCCTAGAGAGATTGTTTCTCGAAATTTATCAGCATGTCACTGAGTAAACAAATCTTCATTTGTATGCTACTTAGTCCACATTAGAGCCTACTACACTCAGCAAAAGTTTAAAATAAAAACTGGCACAGTTTACTTTTAATCTCAAAGGAAGATACAACATTTAACACTGGGAATAAAAATTTAAGCTGATTTTTTTTTTTCCAAATGTGTGTCAGGTCCAAATGTCACTTTGGTCTGCTAAGAGAATACTACATAGCATTTTTTATCTTACTAAGTTGTCTGTCTCTATTAACCAGTAACAAGGTGAATCAGTAGGATATTGTGGCACTCTGGAACTAGATCGGTTCAAATCCAGATACCACTACTTACTAGCTGTGTGACTTAGATAAGTTACTTACCTCTCTGTGCCTCAGTTTCCTCATCTGTAAGATGCACATAATAATACATATGTCTCAAAGGGTTGCTATGAAGATTCGACAGTTAATCAAGTGTTTCGAATAGTTAGTGATATGTAATATGCACTCAATAAAGGTTAACTGGCATAATTATGATTTATTCTTATACAGTTCAACTGCTCTTAAAGAAGGCGTAAATGTGGCAAAGGTCAGCCAGTATTTATCTTTCATAAGGTGACAAGGTCTATGCTAACAGAATCTCTTTATACTGGCATAATGCCTTCTACTTTTCAAAGTATTTTCACAGATCTTACTTTAGCTTTTCAAAACTGTTATCATCATATTCTTATTTTACATGAGGAAACTAAAGCCAAGGATACATGGAGAGTTCATCGTACCTTGTTTGACAGCTTTCCAATATTACCATGCAATAGTGATCTATATACTTACCTAGGCATCTAAAAAGTATAACACATGAAAAGCACTAGAGTATATGTCACAGTGTCGTACAATAATAAACATTTTAAAATGAACTTACCTGGCAGGTCTAACTAAAACGCCCAGTGCCCTTTCTACTAATGACATAATCTCCCTAACAATGGTCACTGGAACCGCATCACATGTACCACAAGATAATCCATGGGAGACTAAAACGAGATTACGAATATGGTATACAAAAACTAAAAATTTCAGATCTACCATGATATCTTCTGTACTCCTGAGTCAGAGAAATGTTACTATTAAACTATATGTTACAACGCATGCTACCAACAGCCTCATTAAATAATAAAAATTAACTAAAGGAAAACATTCATACACACACACCATTATACATCAAAATCTATTTGGCAAGAGCAAAAAGAGCATAAATCCAAACCCCACTGCTGTCGAGTCGATTCCAATTCATAGTGACCCTACAGAACAGAGTAGAGTAGACCTGCCCCAAAGGATTTCCAAGGAGTGGCTGGTGGATTCGAACTGTCGAACTTTTGATTAGCAGCCAAGCTCTTAACCGCTGTGCTACCAGGGTTCCCTTTTACAAGAGCAAAGCCAATAATAAATATATACGTTCTACTACTTTAGCTGGCTGACACATAACATCTTTGGCTCAAATAATAATTCAAAGTAGTGTATGGTTCTAACAACAACAAAAAAGGAACTAAGACTTAAGGGAACAAAAGGCCAGAGCCAACCTCCTCTGTTCCTGTAAGAAACAGAATGTATTTGCCCACTGATTTGCTTAGGTGTTTGGAGCCACCTGGAGAAAAAGATTTATCATTACCAGGAAATGCCTTACATTTTGAGATAAATACTGCATCCCTAATACAGAACTTCTACAAATCTGGAAAAACTATAATAAGAGGAAGATCCTATCAAGAAAGCAAGGTTAACTCCAGAGAGTAAGAACAAGCTTTAAACAGCTGTTATCCATTCAACAAACATACTGAACAAGGGTTCTGCTGGCTGCTAACATTTAAAAGAGATACAGCCTAGAGCAGGGATTGACAATCTACAGCCCATGAGCCAAATCCAGCCCACTATCAGTTTTTTGTAAATCTGCTGCAAAAGACCTCTTTAAAGTGTTAAAAAAGCAAAGATGTCACCTTGAAGACTAAGGTACTCCTGACCCAAATCATGGTGTTTCAAACACCTCACATGCATGCTAAAGCTGGGCAATAAATAAGGAAGAGAAGAAGAACTGATGTCTTTGAATTATGGTGTGTTGGTGAAGAATATTGAATATACCATGGACTACCAGAAGAACGAACAAATGTGCCTTGGAAGAAGTACAGTCAGAAATACTCCTTAGAAGCAAGGATGGTAAGACTTCATCTCATATCTCACATACTTTGGACATGTTATCAGGAGGGATCAGTCCCTGGAGAAGGACATCATGCTTGGTAAAGTAGAGGGTTAGTGAAAAAGAGGAAGACCCTCAATGAGATGGAATGACACGGTGGCCGCAACAATGGGCTCAAACATAACAACGACTGTGAGGATGGTGCAGGACTAGGCAGTGTTTCGTTCTGCTGTACACAGGGTCGCTATGAGTCATAACAGATTTGATGGCACCTAACAACAACATCAGTTTTTGTAAATAAAGTTCTATAGGAACACAGTCATGCTCATTTTCTATGTATTATTTATGGCTACTTTCACACTATGACAGCAAAATTGAGTAGTTTGACATCTAGCCAGCAAAGCCTAAAATATTTACTATCTAGCCCTATGCAGAAAAAATTCACAGCCCATACAGAGTTGAGAACCAAATAAAGAATGCAAGAGTGGTTTGAATATTCCTGGGCGAGCAGAAGGAAGATGTCAAGGCAAACATCCTAGATGAAGAAATGGTTAAGTGGGTCTGAAGTGACAGAAAGAGAGAGTGTTCCAGGTTAAGCTAATCACATGGGAAAAGGGCCTGAGGCAACAGGGTACAGGACATGTCTCAGGAACTGTAAACACTTTGGAACTGCCGTACTATAGCGTACAAGTAGGTAAGTAATGAAAGAAAAGGTTGGGAAAACGGCATTATAAAATGTATATGCCAAATTGAAGCTTGTATTTTAAGAATATATGTCATTTTCTGCATACACTTGCCAAAAAAGAATGAAAGGGGAAAAAAAGCCTCTGGAAGGACAAAAAAGAAACACATAAAAGAAACTGCAGAGAAAATGAGTACTGGACACAGGACAGGTAGAGGATAGGGTTCAGGAGATTTCTCTGAATACCTTCTTTAATCTGTGTGTGAGTGCTGTTGAGTCGATTCCAACCCATAGTGACCCTATAGGATAGAACAGAACTGCCCCATTCGGTTTCCCCAGTAATCTTTACGAGAGCAGATCGCCAGGTCTCTTCTCTCGCGGAGCCACTGGTGGGTTCGAACCACCAACCTTTGGGTTAGCAGCCGAGCACTTAACCATCACATGCCAAGACCTTCTGAGGTTCACTACTACAATATAAATACACAAACTGAAATAAGCTCAAAATGCAAGAGGAATGTTTGCATTACAAAAATACTAGACAGGAATTTGTTTTGAAATACTGATTTCAATAAGCTCATGTTGCAAATTGGTTACACAGGACATGAATGTATTGCCTATTCTAAAATTACATATTAAAAAGTTTGGATTTTGTCAAAAAGGAAATATTAAAGGAATTTAAGCAGAAAGTTGTAAGCTTAAACAGGAAAATTAGAATACTCAGTAGATGCAATGTAGAATAGGGCTGGCAGGAGCAGAGAGTAGTTAGGATGCTATTAACAGACTACTGACTGTTTAAAGCAAACATTAACAATGTATTGTGAGGTTTACAATATATGAAAAAATGAAATACATTTTAAAAAAATAGCTCAAAAGCCAAGAGGGGACATAAAAGGAATTGTACAAGGTAAGGTTCTTACACTGTTAAGTAGTATAATATTAATTAAAAATAGGCTGTGATAAATTAAGAATGCACACTCTAATCTATACATTAAACTTTAAAAAGAATAATACAAAGAGGTTTAGACAAAAAGTCAAAACAGAAAATTAAATGGAATCTTAACAAAATAAAACAAACCTTGATTAATTTAAAAAAAAAAAAAAACAGAAATCGAGACACAAAGGAACAAGGAATAGATGGGAGAAATTGAAAAGAATGAGTAAGATGGTAATATAAATCCAATGATATCAGTAATTACATTAAAGATAAATGATTTAAGCCCTTCAATTAAAAGACAAAGATTGTCACAATGGATTAAAAACAAGACCCAAACACGTGTTCTTTACAAGAGACACACTTTAAACACATAAGAACACTAATTGACTGAAAGGAAAAGGATAGAAAAAGATAAACACTAATTTTTTAAAAAGCCAGTATGACTATATTTATATCAGACAAAGTACATTTCAAGACAAAAAGTATTCCTAGAGATAAAGAGGGACATTTCATAATGCTAAAAGGATCAACTATGACAGACAAAACAACCCTAAATGTTTGCATCTAATTAACATGGTTAAAAACACATGAAGCAAAAATTAATTAAAAGGAAAAACAGACAAATCCACTATTATAGTTGGGAACAGGATCCACATAGAAAAGCTGACGTGAAGAGTTAGATCACTGTTGACATAAAACACATTGGAGTGGTCGCCCATTGGTGAAAGTGGAGGAAAATAACCAAGCGTAAGTAACAGGAAAAAAAAGGAATAATTAAAATAAAATTAAACTAAACAAAAATAGAGCCTTAAATAGACTGATGATAGGTTCCATATCCTAGCTGTGTACCTCAACTCTCTGAACCTTAGATTCAAGGGGAAAATTAAGGACCAATTTTACTGGAAAATTCTATTTTTATATTTTTTCTTACCAGCATCACTGTTAAATTCATAATTCTTCCAAGGTTATCGATGTAGTAGACACTGTCTTGATACCACGAATCACAGTGTAGATAATTATACATTCCAAAAGCATGCATGTGTTCCAGTGTATATTGATCATCTCGAAGTTTTACTTCTGCCACAGCTGAAATATGAGAAACATAAACATCGAGTTTTGTTTGCAGGTTGTTCCTGCAGAATTAGCTACAAGGCTAAACAAGTCACAGAATGTCAACACACAAAAGCCTTCAGTGCATTCACTTTATCATTTATTCAACAATAATGTCTAGGTACCTAGTAGGTACTATGTGGAGGATAAACAGTGAGTAAACCTGATATGGCCCTGCCCTTAGAGAATTACAATCTAGTGGCCATAGGGAATAGGGCTTTTCATGCCATAACCCTCTTTTCTTTTCATTATCTCTTCCTCGTAATAATGAATGAATAGAAGAACTCTAAAAATGAAGGATTTCCTTTCTTCTGGGCAAAAATAAAGCCCACTTCATGAAGTGTCTTTATACTTCTTAACAATTTTATCCCCATTATCTCATTCATTCTTCCTACATGTTAAGAAATAAAGGATATGGTTTAGTATCCTCTTACACAGATATGGAAATAAAGGTAAACCCAAATGGTGACTTCTCCAATGTGATAGCACATCTTTCTCAAAGGTACGGAACAAAGTAATATTACGCTAGAATAGAAAAGGCCTCCTAAAGGTTGGCTGTTTGAACCCACCAGCCGCTCCAGGGGAGAAAGATGTGGCAATCTGCTTTCATAAAGATTACAGCCTTGGAAACCCTATGGGGCAGTTCTACTCTGTCCTATAGGGTCACTAAGAGTTGGAATAGACTCGATGGCAATGGGGTTTGGTAATTTGGTCTTACAGAACAGTGTTCTTTCTACTATACTAAGCTGCTTCCCTAATTTTAAATCTGCCAAATGTGTTCCCTGCCTCCTATTTCTCCTGCCCTTCCATTCAGATAGCAACCCTTACAGCTCAGAACTGCCATGAAATAGAATTTCTACCCTAACAGGAAATATATAAGTGAACTATGCTGGGCCAATATCTTGCCTTAATATAAAACTCACCTCATTGTATTCTAATCACAAGTATTTTCTTCTTTTCCCAGGATGATTCCCTGTTCCTGACTCCAATGCCTACCTCCATAAGTCCTGTCTGACTTAATACTCATTCACTCATTTATTCAACAGATATTTCAACAGGCACTAATGATACAACAGTGAGCAAAGAGCACAGAACTACTTTCTTGGTGCTTATGGTCCAGTGAGGATACGGACATAAGTCAAATAATCACACCATATATAATTAAAAATTGTGGTAAGTTCTATAAAGAAAAACTATGGGTACCATGACAGCATCTAACTTAGAGAGCTGGTCTACTTAGAGGGATTAAGGAAAGCTTTTCAAAGTTTCATCCAATACACAAAGGATAAGGAAGAGTTAAGAAGACACACACCTACTTATACACAAACGCTACCAATTCCAGGCAGAAAGAAAACAAGGCAAAAGTAGGAGGAAAAACTTGTGTTCAAGGAACCAAAAGACCACCCTGGCTGAAATACAGAGAGCAGAAAGGAGAATTGTACAAGAAAAGGCTATAGAAAAATGTGGCTAGAGAATGGGGCATGAGTTGGATCATGAAAAGCCTTGTTTTTATTTATCTTTGCTCATAAACTCAAAGCAATAAGAACCCATTTAAGAGTTCTAAGCAGGAAAGTAAAGTTCAGATTTAGATTTATAAAATAATTCCTATGATTACAGCATGGGAAGAGAGTAAAGCAGAGCAAGGGAAAATCCAGGAAGATCCATTAGGAAGCTACAGTCCTAGGTAAAGGATGACGGAAGTCTGGAGACATATCAGAGATAAAATCATTATAGTTTTACAATATATTCAAAGAAGTTGAGGAAACTGTCATTATATAATTCCAGAAAGTGTTTATTTTATAATGAACAGTTCTACACATTCCACTATTCAGGAAAAAACAATGATCAACTCTTGGTTTTCTAGCACCACTGTGTGGATGAAATTACACACTGCAGGAAAATGTACACAGTAACATCATAATGCAAAGCAGTAATATTTGGATAAACTCGTTGCCACTGAGTCGATTCCAACTCATAGCAACCCTATAGGACAGAGTAGAACTGCCCCACAGGGGTTCCAAGGAGCAGCTGGTGGATTTGAACTGTCAACCTTTGGTTAGCAGCCAACCTCTTAACCATTGTACTATCAGGGCTTCAACATTTCAACAAAGATAAAACAAATCTATTTTCTTCATATTTGTGCCAATGACTACTGGGCAATCCTGAACCAGCAAGAGGCTTCTTAGCCATTTGCCTTCTTACGCCTCACCTGTGAACAAATGAATCTGGAAAATTGTAATTAGGAGGCCATGATACAGTAGGGCTTAGGATACTGCATTACCACAAGATAATGTATATTACTAGGACACAGAAATGCACAGATGGTGTTCTGCATGCTTACTATTTTGTAATAGCTCTGTAAGTGAATAGAAAATGCTGCCTCTCTGGCCTCAAATAAGAAAGGAAAAGTTATAATTGTTTCACCATGCCAATCATCTTAAGTATAAAGTGGGAGGCAGAGCAACTCAGAGCAGAAGAGCAGTGTCCAGAATGTGACAGAGGTTAATCACTGGCAGAGTACTTTTGAAGAACCCTCCTAAGAAAGGGGGCTGGGAGCACAGGGAGCTCAAATGTCTGCCTGAATCACTGAAACAGCTGAAGAAGAGGAACGTAACAGACAGCTGAGAAACTGGTCTCATTGATATTTTATTATTTAATGTGATCTTGGATTGAAAATAAGAGCTTTGCTGAAAGATCCTTTTTAGTTTTTTAAAAAGAACTTAGGACTTGACTAGAAGGGAATCTTCCTAAGCATTGCCTAAAATCCTTCCAAACACATATGCAACCTCAGAAACCTAGTTTTTTCATTCACAAAATATTTACTGCAACTCTACTATGTGCCAGACACTATACCTGGCATTGGAAAACAGACATGGTCCCTGCACTAAAGGTGCTAACAACAGTATTCATTACTGCTTCTTGTCCTTTCAAGATACACTGTTATGTTAAACCATGTGAAATTGATCATAGCAAACTCTTCTGACAGCAATTACATATGATTCAAACTAACGCTTACGTAAGCAAAGTACTCTAGTAAGAAAAAAGGGAGAGGGAGGTAAAGAACATTAACTTACAAAGTGTGTCACTTTTCTTTTTTAATTGTTGTAGTTTAGATGAAGTTTACATTTCAAGTTAGTCTCCCATACAAAAATTTATACATAATTGTTATGACCCTAATTGCTCTCCCCATACTGTGACAGCGCACTCCTCCTTTCCACCCGATTCCTTATGTCCATTCAACCAGCTCCTAACCCTCTCTGCCTTCCCATCTCACCTCTGGACAGAAGCTGCCCATTTAGTCTCTTGTATCTACTTGAGCTAAGAGGC